AGGTGCTGGGGCACATTGTGGTGCTAGATCCAGTGTGTCCTGATTTCCATTCCTGAAGAGGTTCTCCACAAAAGGAGGGATGGTAGTGGAGAGAGTTGTTTTGTCTAGTATCACTGCTGTTGTGAGCTCTCACCTGAGCTGGTCCAGTCTGCAATCAGAGTAGAGGGGCCCAACACTGGTTTTCTTGAACAAGGGTCTGAGCTATGGAGGAAGGAGAGAAGGGTAAGTTGGAAGGTTGAGTGTTTGGATCAAATGAAGTGGGTGTAGCTGGCATAATCAGTGAGATGACTTGTTTGGGTTTGGGTGGGTAGTCTTCTTCCATGGTCTGAGCTAGATCGTGTGGGTGTGGCTTTCCTTGGTGGGCGTGGCCATACTGGTGGGCTGGACTTTGAGCCAATTAGGCAGCCTACTGTAAAGGGTTTGGCATCGCTGGAGTAGTCATGGCTGTGTGGACAGTGCAGTGCACAGTAGACGGGGCTCTCACCAGTCTCTGCAGGATTCTCTCTGTGACATTGAACTTCCCGGATCCAGGGTGACCCATGTTCTCTTCATACTTCAGGTTGGTGATGGTGAAGTTGAGGGTGAATGGCACCACCATGGGAGCTGCTGCTGCAGTGGGGTTGAGAGAAGACACCATGAGCTTGTTCTTGTTCTGAGCCCCTGAGCATGGCTTCTCTTCTATGTTGTTCAAGATCTGTGGTGGGGATTCTTGTGTAGTTTACAACGTCTCTCATGGCGGAGGTCCAAAATGTCAGCTCCAAGTTGAATATTTTAAGGACCAGGAGGTTTGGTCATAGATGTAAGCACACTGTCATCAGAAAGCTAACTAAGTTGACCTTCAACAGGGCTGAAAAATCATATGGACTTGTTTTTGCTCAGGTGTTTTTTATTCCCCAAGTCCTTCTCTGAGATTCATGGACTATGCGATGAGAAATATCTGAAGAAACAGCTGTTTCCCATGTTCGTGAGACAAGGCCTGTTGGAAGGTCTCTATCCAAGGTGGACTTATTGGCAGCAAGGGATATATTTGTGATGCTTATTTAACAGAGGCAGAAAAAAAGTGAGAAAATGGAACTGACATGGTTTCTCGCAGGTCACAAAATCTTTGAATGGAAAACAATCCATTTGAATGCTGGATATGATATAACGGTTTTGTGTGTGTGTGTGTGTGTGTGTGTGTGTGTGTTTAAGTGTGTGTGTGTGCATGCATGAGTGAATTAATCTGTGTGTATACTAGTAGTGGCGCTTCTGAATCAGGGCTCAGAAACAGGGTTAAGAGGACACATAGGCTGCCTGGTGCTGGGGGAGGATATAAGGAATATTTCTGGGTCCTGTGAAGACACTATAGAAGCCATGAAGAATCCTTCTTGGGCTCTTTGGTATGTACCATTCCATCAACTCCTCCTCCTGCCTCCTGTGATGCTGGGGATGCTGGTAGAATGTACAGCCAGAATTCCTACCTGTGGGGCTGGAGGACAGAGTTGGCATCGCAGAAGACAAGGTGATCACTAGAGATGTTGGGGAGAAAGGAACAAGTGTTTGTGGTGGGGACCACTATGGCTTCTGAAATACAGGTGGGACAATGCAGATCCCCAGTGGTGGGGCCAGGGTTAGGATATAAATTCCTGATTTTCCCAGGTGTTGGGTGTTTGGGTTTGTGTGAGGGGACATGGTGGGGATTGAAGAGCTTCATTGCAGAGAGCTGGGGTTTAGAGGGGAAGTAGAATATAGTGGGGCCCAGAATACTCACTGCTGGGGGTGGAGGGCAGGCTGTGGAGGGTGTAACCTGCAGGGAGAGAAGGGAGAGAGTTCAGAGTTTGAGAGGAGGAAACAGGAGGCACAGAATGGGAGGCCCTGGATTTCGACACAGCCAAGCACACTGGGCCTCTACTCACCATTGACATAGAGACTGTCCTGGTCAAGGCTGTAGGGCCCCAGCTGGGTGATGCCAAGGGTCAGCTGGCTGAGTTCCCTGTACAGCTGCTCTCTGTCCAACCCAGGCCCTGTGGGTTTGGGACGGTAGGTGCAGATGGCATCCACTCCTGTGGCAGTTCCTTCCTTCTCAGACCTGGAGAGGGCAGGGGAGAGGAAAGACAATAGATGGATCACCATGGCCAGGAACTTGAGAACTGTGTGAAATCATCGAAGTAGGCAGAGGTCAGGAGAAGGCCAGTGGACAAGCAAGAAGTCAGAATGAAATATGTGAATGTGCCCTCTATTAGACACTCTGAAACTTTTGGCCAGTTTTGGGTTTAGAACTTTCCTTAAATGAAAGCCTCAAAGCAGAATGCCCAGCTGGGCACCGGGGGCTCATGCCTGTAATCTTAGCTACTCAGGAGGCTGAGATGTGAGGATCATTTTTCAAAGCCAGCCCGGGCAGGGAATTCTATGAGACTCTTAACTCCAATGAGCCAGTAGTGGACTGGAAGTGGTGCTGTGGCTGAAGTGTTAGAGAGCTAATCTTGAGCTGAAGAGCTGAGGGATAGCACCCAAGCCCAGAGTTCAAGCCCCATGACTGACAAAAAAAAATCAGCATGCCCATGGAACTGGGATTGAAGGCACTAAATTGTTACAGGTGAGTGCAGCATTGAATGTTTATCTACAATGGGAAGATATATATTTTTTCTGAACGATTTAGGTGTGAAGGAAATGATCTTCTATCCAAAGGGAGGGAGGAAGCATAACTTCATTTTGGAGGAGAAAAGCAAGGTCCAATGTAATGCTCTGCAGGATCTGAGACATTGGAATTTGGAAGGTGCTGGGGCACATTGTGGTGCTAGATCCAGTGTGTCCTGATTTCCATTCCTGAAGATGTTCTCCACAAAAAGAGAGAGATGGTAGTGGAGAGAGTTGTTTTGTCTAGTATCACTGCTGTTGTGAGCTCTCACCTGAGCTGGTCCAGTCTGCAGTCAGAGTAGAGGGGACCAACACTGGTTTTCTTGAACAAGGGTCTGAGCTATGGAGGAAGGAGAGAAGGGTGAGTCAGAGGTTGAATGTTTGGGCCAAAATGTAATGGGTGTATCTGGCATAATCAGTGAGAGTGACTTATGTGGGTTTGGGTGAGTAGTCTTCTTCTATGGTCTGAGCTAGATAGTGTGGACGTGGTTTCCCAAGATGGGCTTGGCCATACTGGGGGGCTAGACTTTCAGGCAATTGCTCAAAGTCTACTTTAATGGCTTGTGACCTTCCTGGAGTAGTCGTGGCTTTGTGGACAGGGCAGTGCACAGTGGTCAGGGCTCTCACCAGTCTCTGCAGGATTCTCTGTGTGACATTGAACTTCCCCGATCCAGGGTGACCCATGTTCTCTTCATATTTCAGGTTGGTGATGGTGAAGTTGAGGGTGAATGGCACCAGCATGGGAGCTGCTGCTGCAGTGGGGTTGGGAGAAGACACCATGAGCTTGTTCGTGCTCTGAACACCTGAGCATGGCTTCTCTTCTATGTGTGTTCAAGATCTGAGGTGGGGATTCTTCTGGAGTTTACAATGTCCCTCATGGAGGAGGTCCAAAATGTCAGCACCAACTCAAATATTTTGAGGAGGATATCATCGGAACGCAAACTGAGTTGACCTTCAACAAGTCTGAAGGTCATATAGACTTCCTTTGTCTCTCAGCTATATTTTTTCCTACTCTTAACCATTCTCTGTGATTCACATATTTATACGTTGAGAAATGTCTGAAGATAAACTTATGTTCATTAGTCTAGGCCTGTTTAAAGGGCTTTATCCATCTTGACTCATTGGTAGTAAGAACATTTTTTTTTGACCAGTCTTGGGGCTTGAACTCAGGGACTGAGCACTCTTCCTGAACTTCTTTTTTGCTCAAAATAAGCACCGCACCACTTGAACCACAGCACCACTTCTGGCCTTTTCTGTTTATGTGGTACTGAGGAATCAAACCCAGAGCTTCATGCATGCTAGGCAAGCACTCTACTACTAAGCAAAATTCCCAGCCCCACAAGAGCATATTTTTATGATACCTGTTTTACAGAGGAAAAAAATTAGATCATGGAAATGACATGGTTTTCCCAGGTTACACCCTCTCTAAATGGAAAACATTATGTTTGAATGCTGGATTATTATAATTTTGTGTGTGTATATGCGTGTGTGCATGTATGTGTGTGTGTGCGTGCATGTGTGTACACACTGGTACTGGGGTTTGAATCAGCTCATGAGTACTATTCCTACCATTTGAGACATAGGATCAGGTGTGTCTTTTTGTGGTTAATTAGAGAGAAAATTTGATGGACTCTTTTGCCCGTGGCTTTGAGCCCAGTCCTCAGATCTCATACTTCTAAGTAGCTAGAATTAAAGAAATGCATTGTCAACTCTCTGCTGATATAAATTATTTTATCATTTGTATATTTCCTATGTATTTGACATCTGTAAGGCCATGATGTATTAGATTTTGATCATTTGTGTCAATCAGATCTTTCCAATCATATTTTTAAAATAAATCTTGTGATGTTCTGTGTATGATAACTTTGCTTAGCATGACTATTTTTAGGAATGCCTTTGTCATTTGTTGGGAGAAAATCCTGTGCCCAAGGAATCAAGAAGACAAGAAAACCTGTAAAGTCCCATTGTGATTTGAGCCCTTCCTGCCTCTATTATTTTAGTGCTTTTATCACTTTTTGCAATTTCCCTGAAAACAACAATTGAAGAGAATCATGTCGAGAAAAATACAGAGTTCTCAAGAATATCAGAGATGACCTTGTAGTTTGTAGCTATTGAATGAACCAAATATTATATACGTTTCTACCATGTAGAAATGAATGTGATTCTTACAGATGGACACAGAGCTGCTGTATTTATATTCACAGAAATTAAATGCTTAAAACATCAGGAAATTGAATGGTTTTGTCTATGCAGGCCACTGAATACAGAATTACCCAAATAAAAAGGATAATGATGGCCAGTTGGTTAACTGCGTGAATGAGGGTTTGATCTTTTTCTGAATTGCTTTTGGGGCATAAGTCCATGAAAGAAATCTGTACTCTGCACAAACGTTTCTCTGTAATCTTGGAAGGGCTGGAGGGATTTTAGCTGTGCAGAGTGAACTTTGGGGTTCAGAAACAGAGTTCAGAGATGGTGTAGGTTGCCCGGTGCTAGGGGAGGACACTGGTACTCCAGGAATTCTCTGGGTCCTGGGAAGATGCTGTGAGAGCCATCAAGACCTCACCTTGGGGAAATGTCACTACCTCCCCCCACCCTCCTTCTTCCTGTGATGCTGGGGAAACTGGGAAAATGAGCATCCAGGAGAGTTTACCTGTGGGGCTGGAGGACAAAGTTGGCATTGCAGAAGACATGGTGGTCACTAGAGATGTTGGGGAGAAAAGAACAAGTGTTTGTGGTGGGGACCATCATCACCTCTGAAATACAGGTAGGACAATGCAGGTCCCTGGTGGTGCCAGGGTTAGGGTATAAATTCCTAATTCATCCCAAGGTGTTAGGGGTGTGGCTTTGTGTGAAAGGGACAAGGTGGCATTGACCTGGTTCATGGCAGAGGGCTGGGGCTTGGAGGGGAGGTGGGATTTAGGGAGGCCCAGAATACTCACTCCTGGGGGTGGAGGGCAGGCTGTGGAGGGTGTAACCTGCAGGAGAGAGGGTGAGGAGGTGTGAATGAGGGAACAGGACGTTCAGGAGGGTCATCTGTGGACTGTGACTCAGACAAGCAAACTGAGTCTGCTCACCATTGACATAGAGACTGTCCTTGTCCAGGCTGTAGGACCCTAGCTGGGAGATTCCAAGGGTCAGCTGGCTGAGCTCCCTGTACAGCCACTCTCTGTCCAGCCCAGGACCTTTGGGGTAAGGGCGGTGGGTGCAGATGGCATCCACTCCTGTGGCAGCTCCTTCCTTCTCAGACCTGGGAGGGCAGGGGAGAGGGAAGACAATAGGTGGGCAGACTACAGAGGGACCCTCAGATTTCTGGTGAAGGCGCTAACGCACACATGAAAGAATTGACGGCTGATGGATTGGAAGCAGTCAGACTTAAATGTTTGCTGTCACATCTTCAGTACCAACCTGGAAGATTTGATCAGTCTTGGGTTTAGAATTTTCTCTAAAGGAAAGGCACGAACATGGAACAGAAACTGAGGGCTCTAAGATGAGCCAGCATTGAATGTTCTGATTGAACGCAGCATTGAATGTTCATCTACAATGGAAAGCTATGTTTTTTTTTTTTCTGAAAGATTTAGGTGTGAAGGAAATGATCTTCTATCCAAAGGGAAGGAGGAAGCAGGGCTTCATTTTGGAGGAGAAACGCAGGGTCCCATCTAATGGTGTGCAGGATCTGAGACACTGGAGTGTGGAGGTGCTAAGGCACATTGTGGTGCTAGATCCAGTAGTGTCCTGATTTCCACCCCTGAAGAGGATCTCCCCCAGTGAAGAAATGATGGCAGTGGCCTGACTTGTTCTGTCTAGGATCACTGGAGGTGCCCTGTCCTGTACTTGTGAGCTCTCACCTGAGCTGGTCCAGTCTGCAATCAGAGTACAGGGGGCCAACACTGGTTTTCTTGAACAAGGGTCTGAGCTGTGGAGAAAGGAGAGAAGGGTGAGTCGGAAGGTTGAGTGTTTGGGCCAAATGTAGTGGGTGTAGCTGGTATAATCAGCGAGAACAACTTGTGTGGGTTCTGGTGAGTAGTCTCCCATGGATATGAGCTAGATGGTGTGGGCTTTGCTTTCAGCGGTGGGTGTGGCCACACAGGTGGGCTGGCCTTTAATCTGTGGGAGTATGGGCATGTGGGCGTCCTCTACTTTAGGAGCCTGGCATAGACTGTGTGGGCGTGGCTTCCTCAGTGGGCCGGGCTCTCACCAGTCTCTGCAGGATTCTCTCTGTGACATTGAACTTCCAGGATCCAGGGTGACCCATGTCCTTCTCATACTCCAGGTTGGTGATGGTGAAGTTGAGGGTGAATGGCACCAGGATGGGACCTGCTACTGAAGTGGGGTTGGGAGAAAGACACCTTGAACTTGTTCTTGGTCCTGATAACCTGAGCATGGCTTCTCTTCTATGTGTGTTCAAGATCTGGTGTGGGGATTCTTCTGGATTCTTCTCTTCATGGAGGGGCCCAAAATATCAGCACCAACTTGAATGTTTTAAGCACCAGGAGTTTACTTATAGATGTAAGCAAACTATCATGAGAAAGCAAACTCAGTCGACCTGCAATGTGGCTGAAAGTCATATAGACTTCCTTTGTCTCTCAGCCTTTTAGTTTTTAACCGCCAGTCATTCTCTGAGATACACATATTTATGGGTCAAGAAATGTCTGGAGAAACACCTATGTTCTTTGTTCATGGTTCAAGGCCTGTTGGAATGTCTTTATCCAAAGCAGGCTCATTGGTACCCAGGGGATATGTTTATGGTGCTTATTTTACAGATGGAAAAGGAGACAAGTGACATGGTTTGTCCCAAGAGACACTATGTCTAAAAGGGAAACATTCATTTTGAATGCTCAATATATCATAATTATGTGTGTGTGTGTGTACATGTGTGCTCATACTGGTACTGAGGCTTAAACTCTAGGGTTCAGAAACAGGGTCCACATAATGGCACATTGTGGCTGGTGCTGAGAGAGGATACTGGTACACAAAGAATTCTTGAGGACCTGGGAAGGTACTGTGAAAACCATGGAGAGCCTACCTTGGGGTGGTTAGGACCTATCACTCCTTTCACCCATCTTCCTGCCTCCTGTGATGCTGGGGACACTGGGAGAATGTGCAGTCAGGAGAATTCCTACCTGTGGGGCTGGAGGACGGTGTTGGCATCGCAGAAGACACGGTGGTCACTAGTAATATTGGGGAGAAAAGAACAAGTGTTTGTGATGGAGACCACGGTAACAATGCTCATCTCTGGTGGCGGTGCAAGGGTTAGGGTATAAATTCCTGATTTGTCTCCAGGCGTTGGGGGGTGTGGCTTTGCTTGAAGAGGCCAAAGTAGGCATTGCCTTGCTTCATTGTACAAGGATGGGGCTGAGAAGGGAGGTGAGGTTTAGGGAGGCCCAGAATACTCACTCCTGGGGGTGGAGGGCAGGGTGTGGAGGGTGTAACCTGTAGGAGAGAGGGGAGAGAGTGAGCAGGTGGGACTGAGGGAACAGGAGGCACAGGATGGGAGGCCCTGGAATGTGACACAGCCAAGCACACTGGGCCTCTACTCACCATTGACATAGAAACTGTCCTGGTCCAGGCTGTAGGGCCCCAGCTGGGAGATGCCAAAGGTCAGCTGGCTGAGCTCCCTGTATAGCTGCTTTCTGTCCAGCCCAGGGCCCATGGTGTCTGGGAGGTGGGTGCAGATGGCATCCACTCCTGTGGCAGCTCCTTCCTTCTCAGACCTGGGTAGGGTAGGGGAGAGGAAGGACAAGAGATGCATGAAGCAGGAAGGGAACCTGAGAACACAGTGAAGTTATTGAAGCAAACACAGGAGAAGAGAAGGCCAGTGGACAAGCAAGAAGTCAGATTTAAATATGTGAATGTGCTCCCTTTTATCCAGCCTGGAACTTTTGATGGGTTTTAGAACTTTCCCTAAACGTAAGACTCTAACCAGCATGACCTCGGCACAGGGCCTGAGGGCTCTAAGATGAGACAGGTGAGCGCAGCATTGAATGTTTATCTACGATGGAAGTTTCTGAGGAAATTAGGCATGAAGGAAATGATCTTCTGTCCAAAGGGAGGGAGGAAGCAGGGTTTCATTTTGGAGGAAAAAGGCAGGGTCCATCTAATGGTGTGCAGGATCTGAGACATTGGTGCTGGGAACTATGGTGTGGATCCAGTGTGTCCTGATTTCCATTCCCAAAGACGATCTCCAGAATGAAGAAAGAATGACAGTGGACTGCCTTGCTCTGTCTAGGATCACTTGGGGATGCTCTGTTCCTGCTGTGGTGAGCTCTTACCTGAGCTGGTCCAGTCTGCAGTCAGAGTAGAGGGGGCCAATACTGGTTTTCTTGAACAAGGGTCTGAGCTGTGGAGGAAGGAGAGAAGGGTGAGTCTGAAGGTTGAGTGGTGAGGTCATAGGTGGTGGGCGGAGCTAGCAGAGTCAGTGAGAATGACTTGTGTTTGTTGTGGTTGAATGAGTAGCCTTCTCTGGGTATGAGACATATGGTGTGTGCGTGGCTTTCAGCTGTCCGTGTGGCTGCGCGCATGGGTGAACCTTTAATTTTGGGGCTATGGACAAATGGGTGAAGTCTATTTTCACAGGCCTGATATAACTTGAGTGGGCATGGCTTCATCTGTAGGCGGGTCTGCACACAGTGGGCGGGGCTCTCACCAGTCTCTGCAGGATTCTCTGTGTGACATTGAACTTCCCCGATCCAGGGTGACCCATGTTCTCTTCATACTTCAGGTTGGTGATGGTGAAGTTGAGGGTGAATGGCACCAGTATGGGACCTGCTGCTGCAGTGGGGTTGGGAGAAAGACACCTTGAGCTTGTTTGTACTCTGGGGAATCTGCCTGATTTCTCTTCTACCTGTTTTCAAGATGAGGTGAGGCTTCTCCATGAATTGACAGCTTCCTCCTGGAGGAGGCCCAAAATATCAGTACCAACTCCAATGTTCTAAAGAGGAGGAGGTTTGCTTTTGGATGCAAAGGCCCTGTCAACAGAAAGCAACCTCAGCTGATCTTCCATGTGGATGAAGGTGATATGAATTGCCTTTGTTTCTGAGCTATTTTTTGTTTACTCCAAGTCATTCACATATTTACAGATTGAAAAATGTTCTGAATAAACATTGTGTCCCTTGTTCATGAGTCAAGGCCTTCTGGAAGGTCTTTCTTCAAACTGGACTCATTGGTGGATATTTTTATGATGCTCATTTTACAGAAGGAAAAATGAACACAATGGAGGTGGCATGATTTGTTCCATGTAATGCCATCTCTCATAAAAGAACATTCTATCTTAATATTGGGTATATTATTATTGTTATTAATGTGTATGTGTGTGTGTGTGTGTGTGTGTGCTTGTACTGCACATTGAATTCAGTGCCTGGGTTCTGTCCATTAGCATTTTTTTTGGGGGTCCGGTCATGGGGCCTGAACTCTGGGCCTGGGAGCTGTCCCTCAGCTCTTCAGCTCAAGGCTAGCGCTCTACCACTTGAGCTATAGCGCCACTTCTGGTTTTCTGGTGGTTTATTGGAGATAGGAGTCTCACAGTCTCTCCTGCCCGGGCTGACTTTGAACCGCGATCCTCAGATCTCAGCCTCCTGAGTAGCTAGGATTACAGGCGTCAGCCACCAGCGCCCGGCTCTATTAGCATTTTTTTGTGCAAGCCTTGCACCCTACCATTTGAGCCCCAGCTCTAGTTTGGCTAATTGTTGTTAATTGGATATAAGGGTATCACAGATTCCTACCCGAGTTAGCAATACAACACAGTTCTCAGATCTCAGCCTTCTAAATAGCAAGGGTTACAAGCATGAGTTATGTATTATCAGTTGAGATATATTATTTTATCCTTTATATATTTCCTCAGTTTTCACAAATGTGAGACTTCGTTGGTGAATTAGGTTCTGATCACATGTGTGTTTCTGACACTTTAAATGCCATTTTCAAAATAAGATGATTTCTTTGTTGCTTTGTATGTCCCTCCCCACAGTATAAGCCCTGCTTTCACTGTATTTGATGTTGGTATAATTTGTGGAGAGGAAGGGAAAAAAATCGTTTAAATAGGGATACAGGTGGACCCATTGCAACAATGAGATGTACAAGACGTTATGTCGAAAAATGAACTTTACAACTTTGGCCGGGGGGGGGGAGTGTGGGGGTGGGGAGGTTGGGGGGGTGGGAAAGTGGGAGATGGGAAGGGTTGGGAAGGGGAAACAAAAGAGGAGGCAACAATGCTTGATAAGAAATGTACTCATTATCTTGCCCATGTAATTGGAACTCCTCTATATGGTATTTTCACAATAAAAAAAATACAAAGCAAATATATGTAACACCAAAAAATAAATAAACCTTGTACCAATGTGTGATAATTTCATATAGCATGACAATTGTTAGGAATGCCCATGGCATCTGTTGGCTGAGAATACTGTGCCAGGGAACCAACAAGACAAAAAGAACTGGGAAGTCCTCTTGGTAAATAGAGCTACTCTTGGCTATATTATTTTTAATATTTTTGTCAGTTTTGGCAATTTTTGCAAGTGATCAAAATTTAAGAGACCCATGGATACCAAAACATCCATTGTTTAGGATATTTGGAGAAGACTGTTGTTGCTATATATTGGACAAACAGAATGTGCTATATTTATTTTTCTATTATGTAGAAAGGGCTGTGATCCTTGTAGATGTTTAAGGAGAGGCTGGATTTATACTCACAAAGGGCACATTCATAAAATATTACCAAATAGAGTGGTCTTTTCTATGTAATTCGTTGAATACAGGATTCCTCAAATAGAAAGCAAACTGATGGCCAGTTGGTTAGCTGTGTGAAGGAAGGGCTGATCTTTCTCTGAGTTGCTTTGGGGCACAAGGCATGAAAGCAATCTGTGTTCTGCACAATCTGCTGGTCTGTAATCTAGGGTTGGGAAGATTTTAGGGGTGCTGGGTGAACTCTAGGATTCTGAACCAGGGTCCAGAGAGTGGCATAGGCTCCCTGGTGCTAGGGGAGGATACTAGTGTTCAAGGAATATTTTGGGGTGCTGGGAAGACCCTGAGAAAGCCATGAAGACGCCACCTTATGCTCCTTTGTGTGTGTACCACGTCACACCCTTGACACACCCTCCTACCTGCTATGTTGCTGGGGATGCTGGGAGGATGTGCAGGAGGAGAATTCCTACCTGTGGGGCTGGAGGACGGTGTTGGCATCACAGAAGACTCGGTGGTCACTGGAGATATTAGGGAGAAAAGAACAAGTGTTTGTGGTGGGTACCACCACCACCTCTGAAGGTAGTACAATGCAGATCCCTGGTGGTGGTGGTGCCAGGGGTCAGGTATAAATTCCTGATTCATCCCCAGGTGTTGAGGGGTGTGGCTTTGTGTGAAGGGGACTTGGTGGTCATCAACGTGGTTCATTGCAGAGAGCTGGGGCTTGGAGGGGAGGTGGGATTTAGGGAGGCCCGGAATACTCACTCCTGGGGGTGGAGGGCAGGCTGTGGAGGGTGAAACCTGCAGAGAAAGAGAGGGAGGGGGAGATGGTAAGGAGGTGGGAATGAGGGAACAGGAGGCACAGGATGGGAGGGCAAGGACCCTGACACAGCCAAGCACACTGGGCTTCTGCTCACCATTGACATAGAGACTGTCCTGGTCCAGGCTGTAGGGCCCCAGCTGGGAGATGCCGAGGGTCAGCTGGCTGAGCTCCTTGTACAGCCGCTCTCTGTCCAGCCCAGGGCCCATGGGGTAGGGGTGGTAGGTGCAGATGGCATCCACTCCTGTGGCAGCTCCTTCTTTCTCAGACCTGGGAGGATGGGAGAGAGGCAAGACAATTTTTGCACAGACAATCGAGGGGTTCTGAGCATCCTGGTGAAGGTGCTGAAGCAGCCACAGGAAAAGAGACGTCTGGTAGACAGGAGAGAAATTAGACTTCAATGTTTGTGTGCACTGCCTCTGAGCCAGCCTGGGATTTTTGATCTGTCATAGGTTCTTAACTTCTCCTTAAATATAACTGCGCCAACCTGCCTGCTCTCGGTGCAGGGTCTGGGAGGGGGTGGGGCAGGTGTCTCACTTGCGTCAGGTCAGGTCAGAGCAATCTTGAATGTCAATCCAAAATGAAAGAGAAATTTTGGGCCTAGAAGGAGTGCCTGAAGGAAATGCTCCCAGTCCAAAGTGAGGGATGGGAGCAGGGCATTAATTATGGAGGAGAAAGGCAGGGCCCCATTCAGCTTATGGTATGCAAGCTCTTGGGACATCTGAGAAGGAAGGTGGTGGGATTAGGGAACACTGCGGTGCTGGATCCAGCATCTCCCGATTGTCAACTTGCAGAGGGCATGCTGAAGGAAGGTAGGATGATCTCACCAACCTCCTTTGCCTGGTGTTAGGTGTGTAAGCCTTGATCTGTTGTGAGCTCTCACCTGAGCAGATCCAGTCTGCATTCAGAATACAAGGGACCAACACTGGTTTTCTCGAACAAGGGTCTGAGCTGCAGAGGAAGAGGAGCAGGGTCAGTGGGAGGGCTAAGGGAGTATGGGGGTGGGGCACTCATTAGTGGTCGTGGCTTGTATAGGGGAAGCTTGTCTCTAGTGGATGTAGTTAGATTAAGGTGGGCTGATTCTCCATGGGTGGGCATGGCTTTCTCCTGTAGGCTGGGCATACAGGGTGGGCGGGGCTCTTACCAGTCTCTGCAGGATTCCCTCTGTGACATTGAACTTCCCCGTTCCGGGGTGACCCATGTCCTGCTCATATTCCAGATTAGTGATGGTGAAGTTGAGGGTGAAGGGCACTAGGTTGGGGCCTGTTGCTGTGGAGATGGGGTGTGGGGGGAGAGACACCATTGAGCCCATTTTTCTCCATGCCCTTGGGTATAGGTGCATTTCCATTACAGGTGTGCCCATAGTGGGTGGGTCTTCCTGTAGGATGTCTCCCTCTGAGCATAGACCCCAGACATGAGCACTCATTGTTGAGTATGTTTTTCTTTTGGGGCAAATCCACGGTGAATTAGAAAGCAAGTACTTTCTAAAATTACTATGGAAATCCTTTCTTTTTTTTTAGATTAGCTTTTATTAAGCCTAAATCTTTCTCTGAGGTCTACATATTTATTGATTAAAATAAACGTTTGAAGAGACATTTATGTTTTGTTTTCACATGGTACACATCTTGCTTGAATTTGTCATTTATTTGTTGGCTTACTGCTTTGGAGGAGGTGTTAGGATGTCTGTTTTATAGACAGATGTCTATTTTGTAGGCTGTAATAACATCTGCACAATTTCTAGATGGCAGAACCTGACCAGAACTCATGTTTTGTGGTTCCAGAGTCTAAGCTGATAATGTCTCACTGGCAGAGGCCCACAGGCCAACCTGAACCTTTCGTGTAGAGAGCTCCCTCTAGAGGTATTAGCTAATCTGTAACTATAGATAAAGGCCGAAGCAAGCCTATCCCAGTGCCAGCGCTTCCAGGGATCCATCCAGAAATCTACCTTAGCCAACGAGAAGCCAACAGGAGCCAATGGGAGGCTCAATAGAACCTCATCATGTGCCTCAGCTTGACCTAAGAAAAGTGCGTTTCCCTGGTCTATGTATTGTTTATTCTGGTCCCTTCTATTCCTGAACTGGAAACAAAATTTGATAAGAGAACTCTTTTCATTTACCTGCAGATCTGACCCCAGGAACACAGGTTTGCAAATGTAATACTTAACTCATCTTTCTCCTGCTGGGAATTCATCCAAGACTGGGGCCCTTTCTGTTTTTGTTACTGCTGTGCTACCAGACTGTTCTGATGTAGTAAGTGTTTAACATATACTTGTTGAATGAAGGAGGTCTGGAGGCTTCCAGTCACAGGACATGGGAGTTGTTTTTTCTTTTGTTGTTGTTTTTGCCAGTCCTGGGGCTTGAACTCAGGGCCTGGGCACTGCCCCTGAGCTTCTTTTTTTTTTTTTTTGCCCAAGGCTAGCACTCTATGTTTGAGCCATAGCGCCTCTTCTGGCTTTTTCTGTATATGTGGTACTGAGGAATTGAACCCAGGGCTTCATGCATGCTAGGCAAGCACTTTACCACCAAGGCACATTCCTAGCCCAGATTTTTTTTTTGTCAGCTGTGAACTCTGGGCCTGGGCGCTGTCCCTTAGCTCTTCAGCTCAAGGCTAGTGCTCTACCACTTGAGCCACAGCACCACTTCTGGCTTTTTCTGCTTCTGTGGTGCTGAGGAATCAAACCCCAAGGCCTCATGCATGCAAGGCAAGCACTTTACCTCGGAGCCACTTTCCCAGCCCCAGATTTTTTTTTAAAGAAAGAAATGCCTACCTGTGGGGCCCAGAGCAGTAGTGGCTGATGTTGTTGGCATGAGGGTTGAGGCTATAGCAGCTGAGGAAAAAAAAAATCACAGTGAAGTGACCATGGGGGGAGTGAAGGACAAGTGCCCACCATGAGAGTTGCTCTGAAGTCTATGTCGGGTGTATCTTTTTCTAAGACAGGAAAGTAATGATGAGGTTTAAAACTAGGGCTTTCCTGTAATCCTCCTTTTCTAGAGATGCACTGTAGGGGATGGCAGAGAAAGAAGAGGGCTTCAAGGTGAAACGGCAAAGACCCCATTTACTCACTGCTGGGGGTGGAGGTCAGGACCCGATGACGATGGTTGTAACCTGCAGAATGATAGACCGTGTGATTTGAAAGGATGGTGAATGGGAAAATGAGGCCAGGATCTGGGATCTACTGGATGTCTACAGATTTAACTACTTAATGAATTGATTTTTTTATTTTGGTGGTCCTGGGGATTGAACTCAGGGCCTCATACCTGCTAAGCAGGTACTGTTCCACTAGAGTCACACCCCATATGTCTTGAGCCATGCCCTCCAGACCCTTTTGACATTGGTCATTTTTCCTTCCTTCCTTGCTTTCTTTCCTCCCTTCTTCTCTTCCCTCCTACCCTCCTTCTTTTTCTTTTGGTGGCACTGGGGTTTGGTGCAATGTCACTTGAGCAAATGCCCCATCACTTGGGTCCCGCCCCACTTCTCAGAGCCACGCCCACTACACAAGCCACACCCACCATGTGAGCTATGCCAGCGGCATAGAGCCTACTTGGAGCCACGCCCCATCGCTTAAGAAGTCATGCCCACTATGGAAGCCTTGACTATTATTTAAGCCACACCTCACTGCTTAAAGCCACACCTCTACCATAAGAGCCACGCCTCACCACTAAAGCCACGCCTTCAATGCTTACATCAAGGCCATGATATGAGCCATAGCTTGCTTGAGCCACGCCCCTACCATATTAGCCACACCCCTAGTGTGTTAGCCATGCCCCACCATTTAAAGCCAAGCTGTCACTGCTTATGTCACACCCAGCCACGCCCCCTGTTGCTTGAGTCATGCCTCAGCCCTTAAACCACTCCACTAGCCCATCTTTTTAAAAAGTAGCTTCTATTAGTTGTAGAAGAAGGTTTCATTTTGACATGTCTATAGATGCATACAGTATGCCTTGCTCAGACTCACCCCTTCTGCCACTTGCCTTCATCTCCACAAAGCTGTTGAGTGTTCACCACTTTCTGTGTGTTATGGACTCAGAGCCTACAGAGTCTTCAGCACCTGCTGACTCCACTCACCGTTGACATAAAGGCTGTTCCTGTCCAAGGTGTAGGTGTCCAGCCGGGATATGCCTTTGGTCTCGTGGCTCAGCTCCCAGTACAGTCGCTCTCGGTCCAGCCCAGTGCTGGCTGGCTTAGAGCGAAGGGTGCAGATCATATTTACTGTAGTAGCTGATCCATCCTTCTCTGGCCTGGGGTGTAGGGGATGTGGGAGTGGGGGACATAAACAAGACTGTTGATGAAGATGGTTTGCAAGAATGATATTGTCTGCAAAAGCCCCAAAGCTAACAGCAGCTTTCTTAGATGGTGAGAGAAAATGGAGACAGAAGAAGAGGTAGCATTTGTAAAATGATCAGTAGAGGGACAAAGAGAATTGGTAGTGTTCCCCATCCACCTATGGCTTGACTAATCCTGATCCAAAATGCCTGGATCTAGAAGTGTCTCTGATTTTAGAGTAGTGTTTTTTAGGTTTTTTTTTTGGAACATTGTATAGATCTTTTCCCCTAGCCTGAAAAATCTGAAATCCTGTAATATTTGGCATATTTGGAATGCCAGCATAATATCCAAGACATTTCAGGTTGTTTTGGTCTATTAGTCTGATTTTCAATTGAGTTTGCTGGTTCTGAGGTTTGAATTCAAGCTCTTGCTTGGCTGTTTTGCCTGGAGGCTAGTGTTCTACCATTTGACCCACAGCTCTACTTCTTGCTTTTGGATGGTTAATCAGAGATAAGAGTCTCACAGAATTGCTTGTGCTGGTTTTGAACAACAATCCTTAAATCTCAGCCTCCTGAGTAGCTATGATTATAGCTGTGAGCTACTGGTGCTTGACTTCTATATTGCTTTTTTAAAATTTCATTCAGTTGTTTGTTTGAATGCTCTTTGAACTCAGTTAGTTGTTTGTAGAGAAGGGGGAGAGAAACAGGAAAGTATATGGAGTGATGTGAAAGAAGTATATTACATGTATACCACACACATATACACACATATAACACACGTATCTGCATATGTATAATGCATATCCAGTTATGGAATCATCACAATGAAGCCCTCTTCCATTTTTAATATATGGGCAATTAAAAAAATAACCAAGCAATAACAGAAAATTTTAGTGTTTGCTGGGCACAATGGCTCACACCTGTAATTTCAGATACTCAGGATGCTAAGGTCAGAAGGATCATGGTTCCAGGAGAGCTCAGGAAAAAAAAAAGTTTGCAAGGCCCTATGGCAACAAAAAAGCTTGTTGTAATGGTGTGTGTTTGTCATCTTGGCTATGTGGAGAACATAAATAAGGGACTGTGGTCCAAGTTGACTCAGGAAAGTGAGAGCTTATCTTAAACACAGGCAGATTAAAAAAAATTGGTGGAGGCAGTACATCAGTGGCTCACGCCTGATTTGAGAATCATAGTTTGAAGTCAGCCCAGGCAGAAAAGTTCATGAGACTCTTATCTCCAATAAACTACTTAGAATAAAAATCCAGAAGTGGCACTGTGGCTCAAGTGATAGAGTGCTAACCTTGAGTACAAAGAAGCTCAGGGACAGCACCCAGGCCCTGAGCTCAAGCTGTAGGACTAGAAAAAAAAGGCTGGGGCATAGTTCAAGTAGCACAGTAACAATATACATCAATATCTATGTCTATATCAATATGTTATATATGTGTATGTATGCAATCTATCTATCTATCTATCTATCTATCTATCTATCTATCTATCTATCTATCTATCTCTCAGATGTTGAAGTATGTTGGATTTCAATTTTTCAGATTTAGGAGGCTTAACCTATGTTAGCTTTCTGCCAACCCAATCCCAGATCAGTACAAGGGAAAACAGAAAACTCAAGCAAGCAATAAATCAAAGTAACAAACCAACAAGCAAATGAAAACAGCTGTACAGCCACAAACCCTTGTGAATACCTTAGGTGCAAAATCAGTTTTTAGTACTTCTGACAGAAGGTAGAAAACTTGTCTGCCACAGTTTTCTTTTTGCCTCATGCATTTTCCTGAGTCTAGGATAATTTTGGAACTTTTGGGGCCTTCACTCTCATGGGGGTGGTGGTCTCCATGGTGAGTAGAGGACAAAGAGAGGACAGAATCTTGGGAGACACCTCAGCACACACAACTTCACAGGTACCCAGACAGAACCAGACAAAAGAGAAGCAAGAGCAAGATCAGTTCAGGAATGGAAAGTTGGAGATATGGGAGAATGTAAGGACTCACCTGAGTGACGTCAGCTGGCAGCCAGAAAACTGGGGGCCGATGTTGGTGTTTGCGAACACAGGACCAAGCTGGGGAGAAAGGAGCAGGATAAGAAGACTTGAGGGGGCCAGGAGCCAGTGGCTCATTCCTGTTATCCTAGCTACTCAGGAGGCTGAGATCTGAGGATCGAAGTTAAAAGCCAGCCTGGGCAGGAAAGTGCGCGAGATTCTTATCTCCAATAAACTACTCAAAAAAGTTGGAAGTGGTGCTGTGGTTCAGGTGGTATAACACGAGCTTTGAGCAAAAAGACGCTCAAGGACAGTGCCCAGGCCCACAGTCAAGCCCCAGGACAGGCAATAAATTAAAAAAAAGAAGAAGACTTGAGGGTCATGCCCGGTGAGAAGTGGTCAGCCAGCAGCTGTGGGCTTTTACCATGCGTTGCAGGATGACTTCGGTGGTGTTGAACTTGGCAGACCCTGGGTGCTTCATATCTGGTGTGTACTGCAGGTTCACAATAGTGAAGTTGAGAGTAAAAGGAAACAGACCGGGCGCCGTGGCTGAAACAAGAAAGGCAGAGGAGACATTTTGATGCCAGTGGTGGGGCTTGAACTCAGGGCTTAGGCACTTTCTTTTAGCTTTTTGGCTCAAGGCTAGTACTCTACCACTTGAACCACAGCTCTATGTTCAGCTTTTTGGTGTTTTATTGAAGGTTGAGAGACTCACAAACATTCCTGCCTGGGCTGGCTTTGAACCATGATCTTCTGATCTCACCCTCCTAATAGCTAGGATTATAGACATGATCACTGGTGCCCGGCTGCACATTTTAAACACAGTTGACAAATAGATGTTGGGGAATGACAGAGAGCTTCTGTGTATACACTGAGCTGTGTGTGCAATGCCTGCTTGAGAAGTTTGTTTTTGCATTGCCTTTTTGACTGTGAATGTCTACTTGGAATAACTTCCATCTATGTTTTGCATGGAAAATCCTTCAAAAGACACAATTTTAGCCTTGGTGTTTAGGGGGGGATTTGTTACAATACCAGCTTCCAATTCCACAATGGCTGTCAACATCCTGGGATGCTTGAGCCCTTTATATAAAATGATATGGTACAATTGGTCCTTCACTATCACCATCACCACGATCACCATCAGCATCATCACTAGCATTATCATGATCAGAATTGCCATCATCACCAGCAGCAGCAACAGCATCACCTTCACCATCATCATGATCATTATCATCATCATCACACCATCGAGATCACCATCAGCATCATCCATCACCATCACCATTATGACCACCATCAACATCAATCATCAGAATAATCACCATCACCATCGTCATCTTCATCATCAGCAACCCCCCCCACTACCCCACCACCATCATCACACCAACACAAACCCTCTGAGGACAGAGACTACTTTGTGTTCCTTGGCACACTCCCTCAGGCACAGCATCCTCACTTGATCTACTATGACGTTCCATCTTTCCTTGAAAGAATAACGTCAGAGACCTACTCATCAGCCTCTCTCACAAAGGTGTCCTGAAGAAGTACTTACTGGAGAGGCTGGGGAAGGAGGATGGCGTTCCGGAGGTCCCAGGGGGCGCTGTGGAGGTTCCGGGAGCTGGGGAGAAGCCCACAGTTAAGAGAAACAAGGCATGTTCACCACAGAAATGCCAGGGGGAGACACTGCACGTGGAGATGGCTTGGTCTAGGACTCTCTCTCTGAAGATGGTGCAGTGAAGAGAGTAAATAACTTTGCCCTCTCAGTCTCTTTGCTCTTGGAGAGGACATTGTGGGGATGGGTATCTGTTGGCCTCCTCTCTGTTTAGGGTATAGGAGGCCATTTGTCCAATACTTACGGCTGGTGGTGAGTGCTGAGCTTTGATGGGTAAAACCTGGATTGAGAGAGAGAGAGAGAGAGAGTAAGGGAAATAAGTAAGGGTTGAGGGCAAGGTAGGGGACTGAAGAGGAGTAAGGGAGACAGGGGAAATGGTGGATGATTCATGACATAGAAGATACAGGATGATACTGTATCAATACTATCACATCAGAGACATTTTTGAAGAAGAACTCAGAAATCCAGATCAACCTCACCATGCTCTGAACATATGGGCCAGGCCCCCAAGGAGCCTTTCCAGCAAGGCGGTGAGAGGACCACACCCTCCACTCACCTCCCAGTCACTCACCATTGACGTAGAGGCTGTCTGTGTCCAGAGTGTAGGGTCCCAGCTGGGTGATGCCATAGGTCAGCTGGCTCAGCTCCCAGTACAGCTTTTTTCTGTCCAATCTGAAGCCAGCAGGGCCAGGATGATGTGTGCAGATGGCGTTGACTCTGGTGGCTGCCCCATTCTTCTCAGGCCTGGGGAATGCCGCACGTGATTGGTCTAAATATTTTTCCATCTATTTGTTCCTCTCTGCCTCCCTCCTTCATTTCCTCCCTCCTTCTTCCAGGTCTGAATGCTAAATGCAACAGGTACCTGTTTGGTGGGTCTATTGGAAACCACAGCTGGTTCAATCTGAAGTCAGCCTTCACCATAGCCACAGGCCATTGACCCAATTAACCAGCCCAAAGATCCCAGGAATGTGGGTGTAATAGCTCCCAAAGTAACAGCTTCCACTGGGTTGGAGGCCTGGCTCAGGTGGTAGAGCACCAACCAATGAGCAAAAGCATCAGATACTAAGTTTGAGTCCTGGTCTTGGGCCAAAAAAAAAAAGCAATAACCAAAAATCAATAGCTTCCATTATTCAACATGGCAGACATTGCTCAGTTCCCCAATGATTAGTATACCTATTATATATCACATACAAAACAATTATATACCATTAAAAATAATACATATATATTTAAATATAAATGTAAATAGGAAATGTGTGGTTTTTGTTTTATATATTCTAATACCTAGCACATTATATAATGATTAATATTGATATTACACTAGTTTCAGATGATTTTCTGTGAACGTGTGTCTGTGTGTGTGTGTGCACATGTGCATGCAGGTCCTGGGGCTTGAACTCAGGGCCTGGATACTGTCCTTGAGCTTTATTACTCAAGACTAGGGTTCTACCACTTGAGCCACAGATCCACTTCTTGGCTTGTTTTTGTAGTTAGAAAAAAGAGGGGGCTGGGAAGGTGGCTCAGTGGTAGAGTGCTTGCCTTGCATGCCTGAGGCCCTAGGTTCGATTCCTCAGCACCACATAAGCAAAAAGAAAAAAAGCCGGAAGTGGCGCTGTGGCCCAAGTGGTAGAGCACTAGCCTTGAGCTGAAGAGCTGAGGGACAAAGCCCAGGTCCAGAGTTCAGGCCCCATGACTGGACCCTCCCCCCCACCTCCCCCCAAAAAGAAAAAAGAATCTCATAGACTTTCTTGCCTGGGCTGGCTTTGAAACTGTGATCCTCAGATCTCAACCTCCTGAGTACTTAGGATGACAAGTGTGAGCCACCAGTGCCTGGCTACTATTTTTGTTTTTGTGGCCCTAGGGATTGAACCCAGGGCCTGCACAGGGCAGGCGATGTCTCCACCATGAAACCATATTCTCAGCCTACTTACAACTGTTTGCTTTAACTCATTTTCTAACTAGATTCTCACAACTGCCATGAATGTGTGCAGTCTGTATGGCAAAACTCACATAGTTTATATAGTATAGCATGCATGTATACCATACATGTGTGTGGTGTGGCTGTGAGTATGTGTGCCTGTGCATGTGGTCATGTGTGTGATTTGTGTGGTTGTGTGTGTGGCTGTGTGTAGTTATATTGTGTGTGTGGTTGTATGTGGTTATATCATGTGTTGTGTTGTATATAGGGATGTGGTTGGGTATGTAGTTCTGTGTGTGTGTGTGTATGTGCGTGGTTACATGTGGTATGTGTGTGTGTGTGTGATACAGCCTGAAATGCTAGTGTTTCCCTGTGTGACCTGGCACAAGCCACTTACTTCTTTTGGCCTCAGTTTACCCTGTACACCTGATTCATGAGGCTGATGCTATAGGAATACCAAACGCACAGTACATTCTTCTGGCTCCTGGCTGGTGTTCTGGTTGACACTTAGCGTCCATGGTGAGTGTGGACAGCCAGGGAGTGCCAAGCTTGCCTTAGGTCTCATCCACCTGCAGGCCCTGAATTTTGGGGAGAAGCGCTCACCTGAGCGAGACTAGTCTGCAGCCTGAATAGAGTGATCCCAGACTGCTGTTCTTCAACAAGGGTTTGAGCTGTGAAGGAGAACAGAAGTGAGAGAAGAACCTTGGTGGGGAAATGGGAGGAGCTGAGAGTTTGATAGGACAGATTGGGCGGGGTTGATGTGGATGGGGCAGGCCCTAGCGAGGTGTGGGTGGGGTTAGCCCAAATGAGTGTGTCCTGGGAGCTGTGGGTGGGGCTGGATCCTCCATAGGTATGGCCTGGGGGAGTTGTGGGTGAAGCTGGTCCTCAGGTGGGGTCTGTGGATTGTGGGTGTGGCTGGCCCTAGTGGGTGTGGCCTAAGCAAGCTGTGGATGGGGCTGGTCTTTGAGAGATGGGCGGGGCTTTCACCAGGTACTGCAGAACTCTCTCTGTGGTGTTGAACTTCCAGGAGCCCGGATGTTCCATGTTCTTCTCAAACCCCAGGTTGGTGATGGTGAAGTTGAGGGTGAATGGCACCAGGTCAGGGACCACCGCTGTCGTGGGGGAGGAGAGAAGGAGGGCGTGGCTGAGTTAGATTTGGTCTGAGACAAGGACCTAGACACATAACGTTGGGGGGGAGTATGGCTATATTTTTATTTCTCTGGTTACTTTTTGTTGTAACTGCATGAGTGATTTCAAGCCTACTCAGTAGAATGACGCTGGGGAGACTCTGCACATGGCTTGCTCAGTGCAGCACCTGTCTGGGTGTAGTGGGTGGGTGGACTGCCATGCCTACTATAAGTAGTTGTCTAATAAATATTTGTTGAACTAACTTCCCTGTGCTGGGTTCTTAAATATACAGTCACAAATTATGTAAGGAAAGTGGTATATTCTGGGAAATGCGTTGCTATGCGGCTTTTTCTTTATGCAAACATCAGAGTGTACTTACATGAAGAGAAGTGATCTAATCTTTTTTTTTTTTTTTGTCGGTTGTGGGGCCTGAACTCTGGGCCTGGGTGCTGTCCCTGAGCTCTTCAGCTCAAGGTGAGCACTCTACCACTTGAGCCACAGAGCCACTTCCGGCTTTTTCTGCTTATGTGGTGCTGAGGAATTGAACCCAGGGCCTCATGCATGCAAGGCAAGCACTACTGAGCAAGGTGATCTGATCTTATGGGTCACTATTGTCTAGGCTGTCCCTCACATCTCTACATTTTGGTAGAGGCTGAATCATATTCATTAAATGTCCATGACTATTCATAACATGGTAATTCAATGGCCATTCATGAATCTTCAATGAATAACCACAATCAGAAATATTTATGAACACAATGGGCATTCTTTTTGTTAGTCTTGGGTTTTGAACTCAAGGTCTGGGCACTGTCCCTGATTTAAGGCTAGTGTTCTACCACTTGCCACAGCTCCATTTCTGTTTGTTTTCTTTTTTTTTTTTTGGTTGATTGTGGGGCTTGAACTCTGGGCTTGGGTGTTATCCCTCAGTTCTTCAGCTCAAGGCGAGATCTCTACTGCTTGAGCTACAGTGCTACTTCTGGTTTTCTAGTGGTTTCTTGGAGATAAGAGTCTCATGGACTTTCCTGCCTGGGCTGGCTTTGAACCATGATCCTCAGATCTCAGCCTCCTGAGTAGCTAGGATGACAGGTGTCAGCCATTGGTGCCTGGCTGTCCATTTCTGTTTTTATTGTTATTTTTGTAGGTTTTTTTTGAGATAAGAATCTCATGAAATTTGTTGTCCAGGCTGTCTTTTAACTAGGATCCTCAGATCTCAACCTCCCAAATAGCTACAATGACAGGCATGAGCCACTGGCTCCTGGCAGAACATATTTTAAGTCTGATACCTGCCCAGGGTTCTAGTCTACCCTTTCCTGTTGGGATTGTTTTGGGTTTTACTACTGTCGAAGAAATTTCTACTTAGGAACCCAATTGTGCTGGTTGTTTTGGGACTTGGTGAGTTTCTGGGACACAGACTTTCCGTGCTACCAGCTCTAGGTATATATATATATATATATATATATATATAAATATATATATTATATATATATAATATATATATATAATATTATATATATGCTGTCAATGCATATAGATAGATAGATAGATAGATATAGATAGCCACACTATTCATCATAGCCAAGATATGAAAGCAATCTCTGGCTACAGTGTCCAATGGAACCAATCAAGATGCCTATCAATGGATGAATGAATAAAGAAAATGAGATACATGTACAGACCGGAATAATATATAGTCATAAAGAAAAATCACAGCTCATTATTTGTAACAAAATACACAGAACTTCAACACGAAAGAAAATACTATATGTAGGTCTCACAGGTATGTTAAAAAAGTCTATCTGGCCGGGCATCAGTGGTTGATAGCTATAATCCTAGTTACTGAGGAGGCTGAGATCTGAGGATCACAGTTCAAAGCCAGCCTGGGCTGGAAAGTCAGTGAGATTCTTATCTCCAGTGAACTACTAAAAAGCCAGAAGTGAAGTTGTGGCTCAAGTAGTAAAGCACCAGCCCTGAGCAACAAAAGCACATGGACAGTGACCAGGCCCTGAGTTTCAGCTCTAGGTCCTATGCATGTGTCTGCATTCATGTGTGTGTGCATGTACATACTTGCACACACAAACTCAATCTGTTACTTTTCCTCTTGCTTAGTAGTGTGAATCTAATGAATGCTGCTCAATCACATACCAACAAATGCTTAAAATGGAAATATGACTTGATATATATAAATATATATATTAAATATATATTTAACCACACTCAAAAGATAATTATTCTTACTTGTTCTTGAAGTCACCATCTCAGAAGTCAAGATTGTCATTGCAGTTGTGGTTAGAGGGACGAAGGGACTTCCAGACAGGGGACCGATGGGGGTACTTGTGGTTCGAGCCACTGTGGGTCTTGAACCTGTGGTCGCTGAGTTAGTAGTCTCACTGGTGGTGGTTTTCTGTATGGTGCTTGGACTCGATCCTTCTTCATGACTGGTTGCAGGCAGGGTGGAGGTCTCTGATAGTGTATGGATCATCATGGGACCTGTGGTCATTTTGGAGAAATCTGGGGTTCTAACTGTAGTTACAGGTGAAGTTTCCGGAGTCCAGGAAGTTACAGTGTTCGATTCACTGGTTATTGAAGGGACATGGAGGGAAAAAGCCATAGTCAGAACTTCTGAGCTGGTTTCTGCCAAAGGACTAGTGACCCACAAGCCTGTGGTCTGGGATAAACCAGGGGACATGGTGACAGATGGGAGACCTGTGCTAACTTCTGATCCAGGATGGGTAGACAGTGAGGTTGTTGGTGTAGGAACATGAGGGGAGACAGTTGAGCCTCGATCAATTCTGCTGGTCTCAGTTGTGAGGACAGAAGTAGCTGTCTCTGGTCCACCAGGGGGCACGGTCTGAGTTGGAATTGCTGTACTGACCTTCGCCCAAGGTGTGATGGGCAGAGAGGCTGTGGTCTCTGACGTATGAGGGAACATGGATAAAGACGGAAATTTTGAGCTGGTGGATACGGCCCTGGGGCTGGCAGTTGATAAATTGGTGGTTTCTGATTGGCTGGTAGAAAGAGTCATGGTTGGAGCTGGCATACTGGTTGATTGCCCAGAAGTTGTCAGTACCTGGGAGGTCAGCCTATCTGGTTCTTCGGATGAACTGCTCATTGTTGGGGTACCTGAAGTGGCTTCTGTCCCAGAGCTGGTGGCCACTGAAGTGGTAGTAAGTAAACTACTGTGAGAAAAATGGGGAGCTGTAGGGGTGACTATTGAACTGGTCTCTGAAGGATGAGTGATCAGTGAGGTTGTTGCTGTTGTTTCATACGGAGAGGAAGAAGGTGTTGGAAAAATTGTCCTGGTGTCTGTCCCAGAACCGGTGACCAGTGAGGTTGTCCAATGAGGTACACCCAGTGAGATAGTTGTCAGAGTGGCTGAACTTGTTTCTGTTCCAGAACTGGTAGCCATTGTGGGTATGGTATCTGATCCACCCTGGGGAATATGGGGGGCTGTACTGGAAAAGGCTGTGCTTGTCTCTTCAGAGTAAGTGGCCAGTGAGGTTGTTGTAAACAGTTCACCAGAGGAAACAGTCAGAGTTGGCCCAGCAGAACTGGCCTGGATCTCAGGATGGGTGACTGAGGAAGCTGTGGTTTCTCCTTCTCCAGGGAAAGCAGTCAGCATTGGGGTAGCTGTATTTGCATCTGTCCCAAAAGTAGTAACTATCCCTGGTATGCCTGTCGAGATCTTCTTGGCTGGAGCAGACAATCGAGTGTTTGCTCCAGTGCTGGCGGCCATTGGAGAGATGAAATTTGATGCACTTTGGGAAAAATCTGGGGTTGTTGTAGAAATGGGTGTTTTGTCCTCTGCAGTATGAGTGACCAGTGAGATTGTTGTTGCTGGTTCACCAGGCCAAACAGTTGGAAGCGGAATAGCTGAGCTAGCTTCTGACCCGGTGTGGATGACCCATGAGGTGGTAGATGCTGGTTCTTTTGAGTAATCAGGTGATGTGGCAACAGTTGTCTTTGACTCAGAACTAGGGACTAAGGATGTCACCGTCCCTAATATACCGGAGGAGGCTGTCATCTCTGGAATAGATGTACCTGTCTGTGCCTCAGTGGGAGTGACTGATGAAGCTGTGGTCTCTGTTACAGCAGAAGGAAGGGTCAAACTTGAAGTACTTAGGCTGGTCACAGCCCTGGAACTGGTGATCAACAGTGTCACCACCCCTGGTGCCTTAGGGGAGACATCTGAACTGGTGTCCATCCCAGGACTGGTGGTCATTGAGGGTGGGGTATCTGATCCACTGTGGGAAAAATATGGAGTGGTTCTAGAAATAATTGGGCTGGTCTCTGTCAGATGAGTGGTCCAGGTGTTTGTTCTTTCTGGGGGAATGGACTGTGATGGAGCAGATGAACTGGCTTGACTCTCAGGATGGGTGACAACCCACATGGCTGTGGTTTCTGATTGAGGTGGAGAAACAGTCGGCATCAGAGTGACTGTACTCATCTTTGCCCCAGGACCAGAAACCACTGAAGTAATCTTTTCAGTCACACTGGGAGAGACAGTCAGAGTTGGAATGACTGAAATTGTCTGGGTAACCAACAAAGTTGTAGTTTCTGACTCCACAGGAAAAGGTGTCAGAGGTGGTTTGGTTGTGGGGGTGTCTGATTCACTGTGGGAAAGACTTGAACTCATTCCAAGAGCAGCTGAACTGGTCTCGGTGGAACGGGTGACTAAGGAGGTGGTTGTATTTTGCATGGTGGAGGGCACCGTCACCGTGGGAACAGCTGAACTGGCTTCTGGTCCCAGATGGGTGACCCATCTTGATTCTGTGGTCTCTGATGGACCTGAGGGAAAAGTCCCAGTTGGAAATGAACTGGCCTCTGTTCCAGAACTGGTGACCAGTGTGGTTGCCATCTCTGATACTTTGGGGGGGACAGTCAGGGTTGGAATGGCTGAATTCGTTTGGGCACCAACACTGGTGATCAGTGAGGCTGTGGCATTGGATTCAGAAGGAGAAACAGCCAGAGTTGGCATTGGTGGACTGGTGACCTCCTTAGAACTGGTGATGGCTAAAGTCGCTGTTGCTGACACCTCAGGAAAGACAGTCAGAGTTGGAATGGCTGTGCTTGCTTGTCCCCCAGTGGGGGTAATGGATGAGGCAGTGGTGGTTGGGTTACCTGTACTGATTGCTTCCAGTGAGGTCCCTGTGTCTGGTTCACCTGGTGAGATTCTTGTCACTGGAACAGAACTGGCTTCCTCTGAAATGCTTGTGACTGTTGAAGGTGAGGCGTCTGATTCCCTGTGGGGGAGACTTGGGCTTGTGGTGGCCACAGCTGGACTGGCCTCTGAAGGTTGGGTGATAAATGAAGCTGTTGAGTACGACTCCCTAGTGATTACTGGAATAGCAGAACTGGCCTGTGACCCAGGATGGCTTGTGACCTGTGAGGTTGTGGTCTCCAGTGGACCCGAGGAAACAATCCAAGTTGGAGACTGACGGGTATGTGTTTCAGAATGAGTGGTCAGTGCAGTCACCATTTCTGAGGCTCCTGGGAGGACAGTGAGAGTTAGGGCAGTGGTAGTAGCCATCTCCAGCTCAGGATGAGTGACCTGTGATGTCACCAGCCCTGCTACACCGGGTGAGACGGTTGGGTTTGAACTCGTTGCTGCCACCTGTGTTCCAGGGGCAGTGGCTCCTGAGGCTGGGCTCTCGGACTCCCTTGCAGAAGGGGTTGGTGTTGAGCTCGTCGTCCTGGTGTCTGCCTCAAAACCGGTGAGCGCTGATGTGACCAGTTCTGGTGTATCAGGTGAGATGGCGACTGATGTTGGAATGGCTGAACTGGCTTTCGCCTCTGTTCTGGTGTCCATGAAGAGTGTGGTAGTGTCCCATACACCGTGGGTAAGAGTGGAGATAGTTCTGGAAACGGGTGTTTGGGTGTCCGTTGGGTGGGTGACCATTGTGCCTGACTCGGCAGAGGAAATCATCACAGTTGGAATATCGGGGTGGGTTGTCTCTGCTCCCATACCCACTGAAGTCGCCCATCTTGGCCCAGCAGAGGAGACAGTCGGAGTGGCAGCTGAATTACTTGTCTGTGGCCCAGAATGGGTGACTGGGGAATCTGTGACTCCTGCTGTATTTGGAGAGTCATTTGGCATATTTGTGTCTGCCCAAGTGTTGATAGGCTGTGACGTCTCCAGCTCTGGCACATCTGGGAAGATGGAGGGAGCTGGACCGGCCGGCCTGCTCTCTGTCGTGGACCTGAGGATCGATAAGTCTGTGACCTCTGAGATGGCAGGGGTGGTGGTGGAGGCTGTGCTTGTGCTGGCCATCTGTCCTGGTGTCCTGAGGACAGGTGGTGCAGACACTCTGAGAGTTGATTCGTCTATGACGCTGGTGGTCTCCAGCATCATGGGTGTGGTCTTTGGCATCATGGGCATGGTCTCTGGTGTTGTGGGCATGACCCCAGGCTTTGTGGGTGTGGTCTCTGGCATCATAGGCGTGGTATCCGACAATGCAGACATGGTCTCTGGCGTCGTGGGCATGGTCTCTGGTGTTGTGGGCGTGGTCTCTGGCATCATGGGTGTGGTCTCTGGCATCATGGGCGTGGTCTCTGGTGTTGTGGGCGTGACCCCAGGCTTTGTGGGCGTGGCCTCCGGGATCATAGGCGTGGTATCCGACAATGCAGACATGGTCTCTGGCGTCGTGGGCATGGTCTCTGGTGTTGTGGGAGTGGTCTCTGGCATCATGGGTGTGGTCTTTGGTGCTGTAGGCGTGGTCTCTGACATCATGGGTGTGGTCTTTGGTGCTGTAGGCATGGTCTCTGGCATCATGGGCGTGGCTTCTGGTGTTGTGGGCGTGAACCCAGGCTTTGTGGGCATGGCCTCCAGCATCATAGGGGTGGTATCTGACAATGCAGACATGGTCTCTGGCGTCGTGGGCATGGTCTCTGGTGTTGTGGGAGTGGTCTCTGGCATCATGGGTGTGGTCTTTGGTGCTGTAGGCGTGGTCTCTGGCATCGTGGGTATGGTCTCTGGCACCATGGGCGTGATCTCTGACATCGTGGGTGTGGTCTTCAGCATTGCGGGTGTGGTCTCTGGCATCATGGGTGTGATCTCTGGCATTGTAGGTGTGGTCTCCAGCGTCATGGGTGTGGTATGAGGCATTGCAGGCATGGTCTCTGGCGTTGTGGGTGTGATCTCTGGCATCGTGGGCACGGACTTCGGCGTTGTGGGCGTGGCCTCCAGCATTGTGGGTGTGGTCTCTGGAGTCCTGGAAGAGCTATCTGGTGGTGTGGGTGTGGCCTCTGGTGCTGTGGGCGTGGCCTCAGGTGTCATGGGCACAGTCTTTGGCATTGTGGGCCTGGCCCCAGGTGCTGCAGGCGTGGTCTCTGTCGGTGTGGGCGTGATCTCTGGCGTCACAGGTGTGGTTTCTGGTGCTGTGGGCGTGGCCTCTGGTGTTGTAGGCGTGGTCTCCCGTCTCCCTGTTTCTCCCTCGGAGAGCTCTGTTGAATTGGGAGATGCATCAGTAATTCTGAGTCATACACTCAGGCATTCAAACAGTGCATTTTGGTTAGTGTAGGGTCTAGGATGGAAAGAGGAGGAAGAGGAGGAGAAAGGGAAAAGGAAGAAGAAAGGAGAGGAGAGGGAGAAGAGGAAGAGGAGATGGGATGGGGGAGGAAAAAGAAGAAAAGGATGAGGAGAAAGAAGAAGAGGAGGAGGAAGAAACCAAAGAAGAGGAGGAGGAGGAGGAGGGGGAAGAAAAGATGAGGAGAGACAATCACAGAAAACCTGTCACACTCTCCTTTCTGATGTCTCCAGGCACCAGTGTCTCACACCTGTAATCCTAGCTACTCAGAAGGCTGAGATCTGAGGATCATGGTTCAAAGCCAGCCTGGGAAGAAACGTCTGTGAGACTCTCATCTGCAATTAACCTCCAAAAAGTTGCAAGTAGAGCTGTAACTCAAGTGGTAGAGCACCAGCCTTGAGAAAAAACTTTCAAGGATAGGACCTAGGCCCTGAATTCAAGCCCCAAGAAGGGGGGAAAACCAGCATTGAATGATATCTCCATCAGTTTATGGAGACAGAAAACTCACTGTAGAAATTTAAATATAGTAATAGCTGAGTCTTTTTTTTTTTGTACGTTAGGGGTGCTTGAACTCTGGGCCTCCTGCTCTAACGTCTATTTTACTCAAGGCTGGTGCTCTACCACTTGAGCCACAGCTCTACTTGCTGGTTAACCCCAGAGGGATTCCTACTATGTTCCTGGAACTCCACACCTAAGGTGATATACAGACAGAGAGGTTACAGTTAAATAAGTCAGGTGATAAGCACATTTCTTTTTTGATAATATCACCCCTTCATTTACTCTCTCCCAGTTTTTCCCCTCCTATCCCCACCCACAAGTTGTATAGTTCCTGTTCAACATGGTGTCTACTGAGTTCCACTGCTACATTTTGTTGTGAGGTCTCAATAAATACTTTTCAGATTTAAGTTAAATTAGGTCACGTTTGCTAAATGGAGAACTCTGGTTGGGTGTGGTAGTGCATGCCTGTAGGCCCAGAATTCAGGAGGCAGGGGCAGAAAGAGGATCAGAAGTTTGAGCCAGCTTCAGCTATGTAATGACATCATGAGGAGGGGCGAGGAGGAGGAGGGAGAGCGATTTGACCTTAAACTAAGTATATTCAACACACTGTGAAGAAATAAAAATGGCACAGTTTGACATCCACATGGTAAGCATTAGACCAAAAAAAAACCAAATCTGATCACCCAAGAAACTCACAAAAACAACTCATAATTCTCTTCCTAAGGAAAACAAGTTTCCTGTCTCTGGGGAAGGAAGCAAGGACACAAATGGTTCTGAGGTGGACCTACCTTTGGGGTGAGCAGGTGAAGTTAGGGCGTCTGTGCCTGGTCTCCTTGTTCCCTTGTGTTCTGCTTTATTGGGCATCTTCGTATTGTGCTCCAGAGTATCCTCATCAGGTTCTGCAATGAGAGCGAGGGAGAGGACAAGTGTGAGTCATTGTATCCAGAAGGGGTGCCCTGGGGAAATGGATTCAACATCTCCTCTTTTTCTTTTTATTGGTGTTGTTTGCTTTTATTCTGGTACTAGGGCTTGAACTCAGGGCCTGGGCACTGTCCTTTAGCTTTTTTCATTCAAGGCTAGTGCTCTTCCATTTGAAGCACAGCTCCACTTCAGGTTAGTTGGAAATAAAAAGTCTCATGGATTTATCTGCACATGCAGGCTGGTTGGGAACTGCAGATTCTCCTCTCTCAGCCTCCTGATTAGCTGGGATTATAAGCGTAAGCTACTGGTGCCTGGCTCTGACTTACTCTTGAACTGCTTTGTTGAATGGTAGGAATGCCCCTTTGGATCTGTCTTATTTTAGACCCTTGGTCTCAGGGACTGCTGCTTTCATTTGAATCTCTGAGGCTGATCATGTTGTCAAAACAGCTCTGTCCTTATTTCAACTTAGCTATTCCATAGTATTTGATATAACTTATTACTTCTCCCTAAAACAGTGCTTCTTGAAAGCCAGAAATACTTGTTCTGTCTAATAACTCGCCAACTACACCTGCTGAGCCTGTTAAGAGCATACTTTCCTAGTCCTGACCCTAGATTTTCTGGATTCTTTTATTTTACAGTGCTGGGGATCGAACCTAGGGTCTTACTCATGCTAGAGAGGGATTTTTTTTTTGGTGCTGGCCCTGGGACTTGAACTTAGGGCCTGGGTGCTATCTCTGACCTTTTTTTTTGTCTCCTCAAGGCTAGTGCTCTACCACTTGAGCCACAGTACCACTTCCATCTTTTTTGTGGTTAATTGGAGATACGTCTCATGGACTTTCCTGCCTAGGCTGGTTTTGAACCACAGTCCTCAGATCTCAGCCTCCTGATTAGCTAGGATTACAGGCATGAGCCATTTGCCACAGATGTTTCCTTTTTAAAGACAGGATGTTACTATGTAGGTGAGGCTGGCCTTGAACGCATGAACTTCCTTACACAAACTTCAGTTTGCTGGGACTACATTCCTGTACCACTAAACTGGTCAAAGGATTTTTCTTGTTTTTCAGTATTGAGGATTAAACTTAGGATCTCATGCTTGCTAGCCAAGGGCTCTACCACGGGCTATATCATCACCATCACCACCATCATCATATCACCATCATCATCATCATCACCACCAATCTATAAATCATTCAATCAATCATCATCATCAATCAACATAACAATTATTGTGATATTGTAATTATTCACCTCCTTGTTATCTATCTATCTATCTATCTATCTATCTATCTATCTATCTATCTATCTATCTATCTATCTATCTATCTATCTATCTTTCCAAATGCCTAGTTCAGTGCTTGGAACTGAATTTAGAATCAACAAATGTTTGCTAAAAGAAATTCCATTATAGGGACCTGGGGATATGGTTTGCCAGTACAGTGCTTGCCTAGCTTGTACCAAGGTCCTGGGCCTAAGTCCTAGTGGTATAAAAAAAACTAATCTTTGCCAACAGGTGTGCTGATGAAAAACCAGAACACATATACATACAGACACAGACACAGACACAGGCAGACAGACAGACACACACACATGCATTGTTCCTCAGCCATGATGATGAATAAAATCAATTCATTCGTAAGACAGTGGGGTAACTGGAGATGCTCACATTTAGCAAAATTAACCATATGCAGGAAGGCGAGTATCTATATATTCTCTCATATGTAAAAATTATAAATAAAGAAAAAAGATGACTTGAAAAATAGAAAATGGACTATGGTAAAGTGCAATGGGTCTGGGGAACTAGGGGAGAGAAGGAAGGGCAAGGGAGAGTAATAGGAAAGTGGGGGGAAATATAACCAAACACAGTATATGTGCATATGGAAACATCACAATAAAACCTATTAGTTTATACTACTATTAAAGAATAATAGTATAACAATAAAACCAACAATAAATAACAAATGTAATAATAATAAATAATAGTATTACTAATAAACATAAATGTTTTTGGGTGCATACTGTGCTTGAACTCAGGGTCTTGTACTCTCCCTTAGCTTTTTCACTCAAGGCTGGTGCTCTATCACTTGAACCACAGCTCCATTTCCAGCTTCTTGGTGGTTCATTGGAGATAAGAATCTTACTGACTTTCCTGCCCAGGCCAGTATCGAACTGTGATCCTCAGATCTCAGCCTTCTTGTGTCACTCAGACTACAGGAATGAGCCATCAGCATGTGGCTTTATAATAAGGGAATTCTGATTGTGGGAATGAATTCAATAACTCCTCCCCCCCTTTTTTCATTTTTGGCAAAGACTTATCTCCTTGGATTCCCCTTCGTTCCCTGCCTGGGATGAGAGAAGGCGTGGGTTCTTACTTGACGACCGGGTTGGATGTGCAGAAACTTGAACAGCACTTGTCATTGCTCCTAAGTTGTCATCTTCTGTCCCTTTGCTGGGAGATAAAGATGTCTGGATGGGCTGGGTTCTGGGCTCTAAAGTACTGGGCGTCACTGGGTGTCCTTCTGTAGCAAGACTAGTGTCTGCCATGTTGGTGGTGGCCGGGGAGGAAGTCATGGCATGGAGGGTGGGGCTGGTGGGAGAGGCAGGGGTGGAGAGGTCAGAGGAAGATGCTGGTACGGAAGCTGACGAAGGCCAGTTCTCTGCAATGGCGGATGGAAGAGCCTGCCCCGGGCTTGACTCCATCCTAGAGTAGGGACTGGCAGAAGGCGAAGCTAGGCTGGCTTGGGGGACTCCAGGGGTGACAAATGACATGGTATTCTCTGACAGAGGTGTGGAGGGGTTAGGCCCAGTGGATTCGGATGGCATCAAGTTTGTCCTGGGAACATGAACACTCTGTGAGGCAGACACAGTGGACTGAGATGGTGGTGGGGAGGAAGTCACCCCAGAAGGCACCATTACAGAGGGAGGGGTATAGAAGTGGGGGACACTTGGCCTTGACATTACGGTCGACTGTGACACTGGAGTCCAGCCCGAGGCTGATGTGGGTGTAGAAGAGGTTGAGGCCTGCTGGGAAGTCTGGAGAGCTGGCGTGGACTCAAGAGAAGGAGGTAGAGGAGTGCGGGGAGCCGAGCTGGGCTCTGTGGACATGCTTGCCTCCTCGAATGGCTCTGTGGTCACTCCGGTGGGTGCCTCGTGGTCAGACACTGGGGTGGCCTTCCAGACCTCCCACACACGGGCAGAAGAGCCTACTGCATAGGCAGTTGTGGGTGACTCCCAGGAGATGGGGAGCCTAGAACTCAGTGCCCCTTCCGAATGGCGGGTTGGCACCTTGGAAACGGCTGGGTGTGAGGAAGACTGGGGTTTTTCTGTGCCTGTAGTGACGTCCGAAGGAGCCGGGGTTTCAAGGGCTGAAGTGGTGAGACTTGGGGGTGAACTGGCTGCCCATGTGGGGCTTCTGTTGGAAATGTGTGTGGTTTTCGACAGCCCAGAGGTAAGCAGGGAGCTGGCAGAAGAAGAAAGGGGAGAGAGATTCTGGGATGAAGTGACAGAAAAAGAGGAGGAAGAAGACAGGAAAGGCAGAGAAGAGAGAGAGCTGGTTTCCTGTACAGAGACAGACTGTGGAGTAAAGGGTGTTGATTCTGTGTCCATCCCCCGCGTGGTGTCCTGGAGAGTGGAGATGAATGGGGTGAAGGATGAAGGGGAGGCAGAAGCAGGAGAAGGTGAGGCTGTGGGGCCTGCAGGTGTGAGGGTCCATGTGGAGCTCAGATGTGGCCCAGCTGGAGTTTGTGTGGAGGACAGGACTTCAGGGGATGAGCTTGATTGCAGGGTGCTGTGTGAGTGGGGCAGGGTCTGGGATGCAGTGGGGAGGATGCTGGTGGCTGAGGCCAAGGCTGACGTGTCCCAGGCATGCGTGCTGTGAGATGCAGATGCAAGAAGCTGTGTGGAGATAGTGGTGGTGATTTCTGCCAATGCTGGCATGTAGGAGGAGGAAGAGATCACACTCTTTTCCCATTCAGTGGTTCTGTGAGCCATGACTGTGGATGGAGGGATGCTGGGAGGGAGTGTTGGAGCAGAGGAGAAGAAGCCTGCACTAGATTGCTCAGGGAAGAGGATGGTGGAGGCATCATAGATGCCAGCAGTGGTGTCCATGTTTGAGCTGGGCTCCTCAGGAGTGCTGCTGTGGGTGAGTGCTGTGGTCCAGGAGGAAGCTGTCTGGGTGGCCATCTCTCTTGTCTTAGTGGATGTTGGTATTTGTGTGGAAACTGTGATGACCCCAGTGGTGGAGGGCATTCTCTCTTCTGCTGTGGTCACAGGAAGTTCTGAGGAGGCTGAGGTGGTAAAGTAGGTTTGGGGGACAGAACTGGAGTATTCCACAGTGGTGACGGCTGTGTCTGAAGATGTTGGACTTGTGCGGAGACCTGAGGAGACCCAGGAGGTGTCTGAAATGTGCTGTCCATTCCTAGTGTGACTTGCAGTCCAGGTGCTCACAGGTGTTGATCCTGTGTCCATCCCCTGGGTGGTGTCATGGAGAGTGGAGGTGAGGAGTTGGGTGATGTACGCAGGGGAGGAAGGAGCAGGAGAAGTTGAGGCTGTGGGGCCAGAAGTTGTGAGAGTTATTGTGGAGCTCAGATGTGGCACAGGTGCAGTTTGTGTGGAGGACAGGACTGCAGGGGATGAGCTTGATTGCAGGGTGCTGTGTGAATGGGGCAGGGTATGGGATGTAGTGGGGAGGATGCTGGTGGCTGGAGCCTTGGCTGACATGTCCCAGGCATGCGCACTGTGGGATGCAGATTCAGGAATCTGAGTATAGATAGTGGTGGTGATTTCTGCAGAAGCTGTCTTGTAAGGGGTGGAGGACAAGCTGGCAATCTCCACTCCAGTGGTTCTGTGAGCCGAGACTGTGGATAGAGTGAGGCTGGGAGGGAGCGTTAGAGCAGAGGAGACAGAACCTGCAGTAGAGAGCTCAGGAGAGGAGCTGGTGGCAGCATCAGAGAGGCCAGCAGTGGTGTCCATGTGTGAGCTGGGCTCCTCAGGAGTGCTGATGTGGATCAGTTCTGTGGTCCAGGAGGAAGCTGTCTGGGTGGCCATCACTCTTGTCTGAGAGGATGTTGGTATTTGTGTGGAAACTGTGCTGACCCCAGGGGTGGAGGGCATTCTCTTCTCAGCTGTGGTCACAGGAAGTTCTGAGGATGCTGCGGTGGTAAAATGGATTTTGTGGACAGAACTGGAGTCTTCCAGAGTGGACACTGCTGTGTCTGAATATGTTGGACTTGTGTGGAGGCCTGAGGAGACCCAGGAGGTAGCTGAGATATCCTGTCCTGTGGAGCTCAGATGTGGCCCAGCTGGAGTTTGTGTGGAGGACAGGACTTCAAGGGATGAGCTGGATTGCAGGGTGTTGAGTGAGTGTGCCAGGGTCTGGGATGCAGTGGGGATGATGCTGGTGGCTGAGGCCATTGCTGACGTGTCCCAGACATGCGTGCTGTGAGATGCAGATTCAGAAAGCTCTGTGGGGATAGTGGTGGTGATTTCCCATTCAGTGGTTCTGCGAGTCATGACTGTGGATGGAGGGATGCTGGGAGGGAGTGTTGGAGCAGAGGAGAAGCCTGTACTGGATTGTTCAGGGGAGGAGCTGGTGGTGGCATCAGAGAGGCCAGCAGTGGTGTCCATATGTGAGCTGGGCTCCTCAGGAGTGCTGGTGTGGGTCAGTGCTGTGGTCCAGGAGGAAGCTGTCTGGGTGGCCATCTCTCTTGTCTGAGAGGATGTTG